TCTCTCTCTCTCTCTCCCTCTATATATATATATATATATATATATATATATATATATATATATATATATATATATATATATATATATATATATATATATATATATATATATTTATCGCCTCCCTTAAAATTAATTGTACTTTATATGACCCCCCTCCACGGTAATTTGCAGTGCTGATGAGCTCCGTTTCTGTGATGCGAGAACAAAACACTGAACGCCCATTTGGGAAAAATAATGGCTGTGTGCGTGCGCACACGCCGGTTTATTGATAAATAATGTCCAATAAATTATATTTACATAAATGAAATAACAGATATCACAGAAAAGGTGGGGGCATTTTCCCGCCACCTTGAACATATATATGATAAGTTAGCTAGCAGTGACAGAAGCAGCAGGCGACCGAAAGAGAAATGGGAGGGAAGGGAGGGTGCAATCGAAAGACGAAACTGACTTGAGATCTTGCTCCAATGACAGCTTCAGAGGAATGAATCACGCACAGACAACTCGCGCTTATATATGTCCCATGTATTACCATGCGATTGCTTCGTGAAGTAAAATCCCGCAATGTAACAACTTTTCCCTGTGATATTCTGTCGCGTGCGCTAGGTCACTATGTAGCTAAATGCCTATACTATATGTCTAAATAGAACGCGGGAGGCAATAAAATTACTATTCGGCGAGCAAATAGTGCCTTTATCGCCTCCCTTAAAATTAATTGTACTTTATATGACCCCCCTCCACGGTAATTTGCAGTGCTGATGAGCTCCGTTTTCTGTGATGCGAGAACAAAACACTGAACGCCCATTTGGGAAAAATAATGGCTGTGTGCGTGCGCACACGCCGGTTTATTGATAAATAATGTCCAATAAATTATATTTACATAAATGAAATAACAGATATCACAGAAAAGGTGGGGGCATTTTCCCGCCACAAGCCTCCTCGGGTAGGAGGCACCCCCACCCCATCAGGACTGCAAAAACCAAATCAACGATAAAGGCAAAGTACAGTATGCCGTAATCTAGAAAGTCTAATTACAAGCGAAGATGGGCCAATCGGACAAAGTATAGCAGATAATGTGATGCAAAACGCATGCTAAATAATGCAGTTAAGAGTGAAGCAACCGGAAGCCTTGCCCCTGCATCAGCAACACGGCATAGCTAAACCCTCGCCTGGCAGAGCATGCTCAAACAAATAGTGCGACCGAAAGCCCTGCTAGCTAAAGAAAGAATGCAGCCATACCGATCCCAGTTCCACCCAAATTAAGCACGGAAACTACTACTAGGCATGTTGGATAAGCGAATATATTTACGGAAGGCGTCGGATTTCCAGCGCCCCATAGCTCGAATCTGAGCATCTGAAAAACCGCAACTGGCCGCAAAAGTCGCAGCGCCTATACGGAAACTGTGGCCCTTATATTTGGAGGAATCGAGGCCACAGCTGCGAAAAACTAATAACAAAAAGTCGGAAAATGTTTTACGTGAAACAGGGTGGCCATCAAACATTTGAAATAGTGGGCCATCCGACAGGCCTCGATGCGATAAATAATCCAAAAGGCTTTGCACAGGGCATGTGTCAGAACGGCGGGAAAGTGTAATGGAAATATGAGGTTGGTTATAAGAATGTTTAAAATCGTCAAAATTGATTTTAAGGCCGACAGTAGCACCAGACGGATCCTCAAGCTTAACCACCTGTTTCACTTGAAGAACCGCTGGCGATCGGGGGCAGTATGTAATTTCCCCCACGCGCAAAAAAGCAAAAAATGCCGTTGTGCACATGGCCTTAAAAAGAAAA